ACTTTTCTACAGCATTGCATTAAGTATACTCACATTTTTTTCTTGTAGGAAATGAAGACATCTATCTTATTTTATTTATTAAAACAACAATTTATTAGCTGCCTTTCTTCCTTACGGAGCATAGATAAGACACGTAGGATAAAATACATTAAAAACATAAAAACCAAGATTTAAAATCACAATTCAGGACTGCTAATTAACTTAGCCAAATGCAACCCTACTGCCTGTGCAAAGATACCTTGTACCAAGTCAGATCACTGGGCCATTTTACCCAGTATTGTCTATTTGGACAGGCAGCAGCTCTCCAGGGTCATCAGAGAGGACTTGACCAGGCCTGTTATGCACATTAATTTCTTAAAGGAACAGACAGGTGAGAGACTAAAGTTGGCATCTTATTGGAGATGTGAAGGTCCATTAAATAAAAAGAAAAATGCAACAAAAATGAACTTTTCTACAGCATTGCATTAAGTATACTCACATTTTTTTCTTGTAGGAAATGAAGACATCTATCTTATTTTATTTATTAAAACAACAATTTATTAGCTGCCTTTCTTCCTTACGGAGCATAGATAAGACACGTAGGATAAAATACATTAAAAACATAAAAACCAAGATTTAAAATCACAATTCAGGACTGCTAATTAACTTAGCCAAATGCAACCCTAAATAAAACCACCTTCAAATGCCTCCTAAAGGTTAAAATGAGGGGGGGCAGGTGTACCTCCCTGGGGAGGTTGTCCATAATTGAGGGGCTGCCACTGAAGAGGCCTTCTCCAGTGTACTCACCAACTGAGCTTCTTTGATTGATGGGACAGCCAAGAAGGCCCTCTACTTGTGATCTTAATTCCTGGGCAGGAACATATGGGAGAAGATGGTCCTTCAGATGACCCAGTCCCAAGCCATGTAGGGCTTTAAACCAACACCTTGAATTGGGCTTGGAAGTGGATCAGTAGCCAGTATAACTGCTGTAGTATCAGGGTCACATGCTCCTAGTCTAGCCACAGCATTTTGCACTAGCTGCAGCTTCTGAACACCCTTCAAGGGCAGCCACAAGTAGAGCACATTGCAATAGTCCAGTCTAGATGTAACTAAGGGATGGATCAGTGTGGCTTGATCTGAGTGACCCAGGAAAGGATGCAGTTGACATACCAGCTGAAGCTGGGCAAAAGCACTCAGAACCACCACAGCCACCTGATTTTCTAAGTGCTGCATCAAGTAGCACTCTCAAGCTGGGAACCTGGCTTTTCAAGGAGAGTATAGTCCCATCCAAGACGGGAGAGATCTTAAGTCCCAGGTCTGCCCTTCTACTAACCCAGAGAACTTCTGTCTTGTTAGGATTCAGACTGTTCACCCTCATCCAGCCCATTAGTGACTCCAAGCACTGGTTCTGAATATCAACAGCAGCCTTGGAATTAGGTGGGAAAGGTAGAGCACAGTATCATCCACATATGTGACAATACAGCCCTACCCTCCTGATAACTTCTCCCAGCCACTTCACATGGATATTAAATAGCATGGGGGATAAGATTGAACTATGCAGAACCTCACAGGTCAACGACCATGGGGCACAGCACCACCCTCTGAGACTCCCCCCTCCGATTTGACTCAGACCACTGTAACATGGTACCCCTTATTCCCACTGCTGAGAGGTTGCTCAATAAGATACTATGATCAATAGTATCAAAGGTTACTGAGAGGTCCAGCATAACTAGCAGGGTCACATTCCCCCTCTTTAGCTCTCAATAGAGGTCAGTAACCAAGGAGACTAAAGTAGTCTCTGCTTCAAACCCTGGCCTGAGACCAGACTGAAATGTGGTCAGAAAACCAGTCTCTTCCATTTATACTTTAACATTTCATAAATATGCCACGTAATACAATTATCTCTGCTACACTTTGAATGATCCATTTTATGCTACCAAAGCAGGAAAATAAAGATAGGTTGGATAAGAAAGAACATTCCAGACTTCCGGTTGATGGCGGCACGCTAGCAGACTCACCTCCCAGACCTCCCAGGGGTGAAGCTGTGCTCCAGCGGAAGGAGGGAGGGGTGCAGGCTCACTACTCCCCCAGGGACCCGGGTGAAGGGACCCTGGCCATGGAGCTTTTGAGAGGTTGCCCCTTCGATGGCGTAATGCCAGAGAATTGAGGCACCTCTCCGCTCTGATGGTTCTTTGTGCTGAGAGACCAAAGTGACGCTGACCGAGGGCAAGCGCAGGAGATCGAGCGTTAGAAATGGAGTGTAAACGAGGTCTGTGGACCGATTATGAACATGAGTCGTTGAGCATTAATTAAAAACAAAAGAAGCTCCCCACCCCCACCCTACGGAACAGAAGATAAGGCGAGCGGGGGAGGGACGCCTCCCAAACGCACAGACTTTAGAGCGATTGGGGGGGGGAGCGGAAGCATAAAAGGTTTAAACTGTTAAGGAGTACTTACCAAGGTGAGTGCGAGCATTAAGGAGCATATTCAGAGACTTTCAAAAAGTTTGCGAAAGTAAACAAAGAGAAAAACATGGCGGGGAAGAAGACGGAATGGATGTGGCCTACAGGTCATATTCAGGATACATAAAGAAACATAATCTGCCTGGGGAAATTGTCCTAAGATTCTCAAAGAGGCATGTAAGGGATGCAATCCTGAAAGCAGTATCTGGAGCACCCCTGAGAGCTGGGGAGAGTGTCATCAGAGTACTGAAGGCTATTCCATTTGAAATAAGACAGCGGAGAAAGAAATATAAAGACCTTGTTCTTTATCTTCAAACAAATTCAATTGGATATAAATGGCTAACTCCAGAAGGCGTCACCTTTAAAATTAAGGATAAAAAAGAAAAGATTGACTCTATTCTGAAAGCGAGAGAATTTTTAAGAGTCCAGCTGGGAGGGCCACAGGAGGAAGAAAAAGAAGGGGATAGCAAGTCCAGTAGCGAGCTGGACTTGGGTTCTTCCGGAGAGGACTCTCTGTCTGAGAAAGGGGCAGGAGCTCCTAAAAGTCCTTATAAGTTGTGGAAGAGACTGGACAAGAAGTAGTGAAGGCTGAAGGACTCTGAATTGTGCCTTTGAAAAAATTTGAATTGAGATGCTTTGGGGTATTTCCTGATATCAGTTAAATTTAAGATGTGGGAAAAGTTAACAAACTATGTAACTCAGTTTGTAATGAGATTAATATGATTAAGACTAGATGTGTATTTAAGCTGATTAGAACATCTCCTCTCTTGGGTTTTTAGTCAGTACTGGATATCTTTTCTTTATCCCCTTAAATGTAGTCCCCCTTCCTTATTTCTGTTATAGTTTGTAGTTTTAATAAAAATG